ATATTAATTTTAAATATAAATAAATTTTAACTAATCTTACTCTATTCAATGTTATTATCATTAAAATATTTTTATTTAATAACATAAATAATATATTTTTTAATTTATATTCTGAACCGAGAGAAGTATCGCATTGAAACATAGCCCAAATGCATTCTTTCTTTCACTAATAGTAGTAATCTTTAGCATCGGATTTATATGACGTTGAAACTTGTATGATTTCTTGAGATAATCAACCTAATGAACGGTCAATCAATTCATTTCATCATTCCGGTTTTGAGGATCTTGTACAATTTTTCTTATGTAAAAGTTCATTAATAGATGTGTTGACACATAAAGATTTGAAAAAAGCAAAAGTGAAAAGATACGAAAAATTCAATATTCAACAATTTGTTCAATTGAGTGGTACTAGATTAATCTCTTAAGTAAAATTTTGGATTTGAATATTGTGTATAAAAAAAATTCTATTATAGGAAAAAATTTCACTAAAAATATTAACCAAACTTTCTAACACAGATTAATAATCAATAAAATTCATAAAAATTTCATACCAATAATATGAATATAAAAAAATGATATATACACAAAATTTAAAGTTTAACTCGGATGTTATCTTTATAATTTTGATGTATAAAAAAAATAATATATGTAAAAAAATATTTTATAACCAATCTCCTAAATAATCTTTGATGTATAAATTGTACTGCTTCTCAATATGATACAAATTATTAAGATATAAAAATTAATTAATATAATTATTTTTAGTTAATTCTATAATAAATTTAAATTTTGTTCTGGATATACTTTTTTTTTATATTTTAAATAGTAATTATATTTAATGATAATTATAAATAAATATATAAAAAATAGAATTTATAATAAATGAAGAGTATAAAAAATTTAATTTTAATTAATTTTAAAATTAATGATTATTACTTGTGATTAAAATATAAAAAAATCAATTTATTACTAATAATTAATATCATAAGTAACATCAAATAGAGTTTTTATATAAATTTTAAACAAACAAGTTTTTTTTTTAAGAAAATATATAAAAAATTTAGATAAATTGTATCACATGAAATTTCTCATAACTATTAATAGTTGGATGGAGAGAAATTAAAGTAACTAGAAATATAAGGATTTAAATTCAATTTTCACTGCAATCATCTTTGTAATTTTTTTTATCTTTAAAAAAATAGAATTTCTGATTTATTTTTATTATTTATTCACCTCTTCTTTATTTCTCAAATTGTTTTCATCTTTCCCGTCAAAAGTTTAATTTATGATTTTTCATGAGTGACACTTTCCTTTGATTTTAATTTTTTTCCATGTAAATAAATGTTTATATGTAGATATTTTGTGCATCGGAAAACAATTGAGGGCAATTGCCGCCCAAATTTCCAAGCGCCCTCATCAACAATCATGTTTGACTTTTGGTCAACAAAAAAATCATGTTTGAAAATTAGACTATTTATTTAATTACGACAACTGCATTTGAATAAATAAAAGAATTCCGAAGGACAAAAGAGAGCATTGCAGTGGCAGACTTGCAATATTCCAAACTTCTAATGTTCTGTTTGCCACGTTGAAGGATTACGTAAAGGAGGAGAGAAAGATTTTATCTTTCAATTCAAAAATAAAATTTGAACTTTTATTTTTAGAACTCACGATTAGAAGCAAAATTTCCTTTTTCTTCTCTTTTCACTTTCTCTTTAATTAACAAAAATACACAATTATTTATATTTACATTTCTTTCTATTTTATTTTATATCCTAACATATCATAATAGTTTATGTCATTAAGAAGGAATTAAATTTGAATAATATACTAAAAATTAAGTTTTACATTATATAAGTACTAGTAAGATCGAGCTATTTTATATTTATATATATTTTGTTTAAAATTAATAAAAGTTATAGTATACATATTATGTATAATTAAAAAAATAATCTTAAATAAAAGAGTCTAAAAGACAATAATTTTATATTATTTTTAAAAAATATGATAATGAGAAAAAAATTAATATATATAAATATATAAAAAAAATGTAAAAATCAATGAAAAGTATATGGTTTATAATTATACTGGTGTAACTTTTACTAAGTATTACACCGTTTAATAATTTTACATTAAATATGAATTTTGTAAATCCAATCGTTAAATTGAAAGTTCATAACCCTTAGATTATATATATAAAATTTTATATTAATTCAATATAATTTTAAAATAATATTAAAATCTAATAATAATTAATAATTTATTTTTTAATATCTATTTTGATATATATTTTTTTTAATTATTTTTCTTATAGTAGTTTATTTTATAATATTATGATAATCTAATAATGATTACTAATTTTTAAATAAAATATAACATTAAAAAATATATTTTAAATATGAATTCGATGATAAAATTATTTTATTAATAGTAGAAATAAAAAATATAGTGTTTGAAAAGCATTTACATGGAAGCAAATGAGAATTAAGATGTTCCGATATAAAAGTAAAAGACTGAAGTGAAACGTAAGAGAGTGTAGGAGGTTGCGGAAGAAATCTGGTTTTGGTTTGGTGACAAAAACAACATTGAGGATCAACGCGAGATATTATGTTATGACCCGACAACAAAGTCAACCATACAGTCACCTCGGAAATCGCGCTTAACCAGGCTGTTCTCCTCCATGAGGTTTCTGGCCAGGTTGTGCCCCTGCTACTACAAGGCCGGCGCAGCCTCCGACCACGGCGCCGACCACCACGACGATCCCAACTGCCCCGACGACTCCTTCGACCTCATATTCGACCTCCACACTCTCCAACTTGCCACCAATTTCTTCTCCGACCTCAACCAGCTAGGTCATGGAGGCTTTGGTCCTGTCTTCAAGGTACCCTCCTTTTCAATTTTCAATACCTAATTACTTCATGTTTCTCCAATTTACTAAACTAAATACAACTCATATACCACATTACATCTTTTTAATTATAGGTTTATGTTAATTTAGACTTTCAAATTAGAATTTGGCTAGAAATCATTGAGTGAATTACATTGTTAGCTGATTAGGAATCCCCTAAATATGACTTGTAATCCCTGCGAGAATGTTTGATTCTAAAGTGAGAAGAGGAGTAAACAGATAGAAGAAGATGCCTAGAGGAATGAGATTTTAATGGAGAAAATATGAAAAGGGAAATAAAGGGTTAAAAAGAGGGGTGAGGGAGTGATTTCAATGTTAAGGTAGATAATTGTTTTTTGTTTTTCCTATGAAGAAGAATTTTAGAAATTAATTTACCTATATATATCTTTATAATTTTGAATTTCAAAACATAAGTAAAGATATATTATTATACTTTTTGTGTTAAGATAATGTTTCATCGGAAGAAACTATGTCCACAAATGTTGATTAATTTTTTGTTGTCAAAATATTAATAAAAAAATTAATTATTATACACCTGATATTTTAAATCTCTTCCAAATCTCCTAATATTAAAGGAAAGAATAAATTTAGACGAGGACAAATTTTGCTCTTTTATCCTTCTAAAAATTAACCAAACATCAAAATTTTATCAAAACTCCTATCTCTATTTCCCTTCAACAGTAAAAGTATGAAGCCGACCGATAATTGTATCATACGTGATATTATATGATTATAAGCTTATTAAAAAAAATTAGAACTTAAGAAGAATGTACCGAATAAATGTTACTATTAACTAATTATCACTCTACTTATAATTTTTAAAATCATTATTACTAAATTTTGACAATTTTATCAAAGTAACTTATGATTATAAGAAATCTTTCATTAAATTATACTTTTGTCCTTTATTTTATTTTTTAGATTTATTTTAGTCTTTTATTTGTTAAAATGTTCATTTTGATGTTTTTTCTTTTATAATTAGATTGATTTGATCCTTTTAAAATAATATTCATTTTTAATTTTACAACACGATTTTGAAAATTTTTTGATTAGGTTAAGATGTGATACTTATAACATCTTATTCACTTACATGAAAAAAAATGAAATTTAATTGATAAACAGTGAAAATTTTGTGAAAAATATATTCAGTGATCAACTAGAAAATAATATGAAATTAGATTTTTGAATTTTTTTATTGCATTTTAGACTTATTTTTATTCGATTTTCACCATATTTATCACATTTTTTAGTTTTAATTTTGTTGTATTCAATAATTTTCAAATAAGTAAATCTACTAGGACAACTTTAAGTCTTGAATTAATCAAAAAAGAATTCAAAATCATGTCCTAAAATTGAAAAATAATCATTATTTCAAAAGGATCAAATCAACTCAAATTTAATATATAAATGACCAAAATGAACATTTTAAAAAATAAAAGACTAAAATAAATCTTAAAAATAAGATAAAATATATATATATATA